CAGTAAGACCCTGCAAAGCTCCTTCCACATCGATCATCAGCAGATGATTATGCTAATTTTCCTGCTGGGATGTGCACTTTTACAGGATTTTGTTTTAAGAATCGCCCCCCAGAGGAAAGGTCTTCAACATTTCACTGAGTTATTATGGAGGTTAATTAACAGGCTGGCCACAGCAGAAAAATGAAGGTTATTTCTGGGCAGTAACTGCTCACATTTTGAGCACATTAAAGCAAGCACTGAGTCAAACTAAATAAATATTAGTGTTGTTTAGATTTTCTATTTATGAGAAATATCTCTGCAAAATGCAACATCAGTGCAACATTCAAACATCTCTTCCTCCTCGAGTTCAGATTATTTCTGCGGTGTCAATGTTGCGTATTGGTTGATGAATTATTGACCTTTGCCTTCTCCACCGGTGTCTCTGGCCGTTTCGTCACAGAGCAGTAATAACCCAAAGCAACAATATTGCCAAACCCATAAAGGGCCAGAATTGGAAGAAAATGAAAAGAAATAAATAATAGAAAATGAATTTATAAAAGATGGAAAGATAAAACTCCTATAAGCCTGAGACGTTTTTCATCTTTGAGGTGCAATCATCATATAACCCCAAAGGCTCAGTTTTGTGAGTGAAGATTACAGCGAGAAATCGGACAGCAGCCGGATGAAATTTTCAACATGGTTTTTGTAATTGCAATGACCAAACCTTGTGTGTGCATTCTTTCAAAGAAGAACTCGCACACTGGGAAAGTTGAACATTAAACAGATTCACGGTAGGTGCTGCTGCTAACAGCAGGCTGTGACTTTTTCATCGAGGCCAGAGGGATGGGAGGGCTGCTGTCAAAACTGAGGGGTTGCTTATGCTGTCATTCCAACCATGACTGCCTGGACACATCAAGAGAACTGGCTCGCTGGAGCTTAAACAGCTGTGCCGGTCATCGATTCCCTCACTTGCCTCCTGCTAGCATCAAACTAGATCCTCTGAGTTGCTCCATTTCCCTGATTTGTTGCAAACCCCACAACTTTCAGCATGTTCACAAGAAAATGATCATTTACGGATCATACCAACAAGGATCACCCTTAAACCGCGAACATGCACGTCTGCAGCTTTATAAGAAATCTTTCACTTTCATTATTCCACTCACTTGTACTTTGGTTTCAAATATGTACTTAAGGATGCAGTAGACCCCAGTACTGCCTTTGCATCTTTGGCAGGGGGTTCCTATGTTTACACATATGGTTCCTGCAGGAATTTAGCATAAGAAGATCATATTGAACCTCTGGAGAGGGGGTTAGCAGTAGAAAATGACCTCCCACCCACCCCACCCTTTTTTTTTTTTTTCTCTAAAGATGTACGTTGGTGATAGGGTTAAATCTTTTTTTTTTTTATACACATTGATGGTGTACTCAGTTTTTCATAGGGCTGCAGAGAGTCCTATGAAAACCTTGTTTTTAACATGACTGTGCACAGTATTCGAGTGAAAATCCCAAAGTGGTGTGCAATCTTTTACACAAAGTGACACATCCATAAGTTGAAGCTTAAAAATATAATTAAATATTGATCTCACAGATTCAAAAAGTGCTGAAGCATGACATTGCAGACTATATAAGATATTTGGAAACGTTAGATGGTTTAGTCTGTGGAGACTGCAAGCATCAAAATAACATCTCTGATAACCCCAAATACTTCGAAGTGCATATGGTTATGTATTTAAAACAAACTGGCTTCCCTTGTTTAGTTATGCATCGCACTGCATTTGTGTTTGCAAAGTAAACTTATATGCAAATTCAAATACGCGCAGCTAAAAGTGTTTAATCTATGAAGTCATAACCTTAAAGAGTCAGGATGATGTAATGCGGTGATTTCAGACACCTTTCCGGTGTTTCGTTCTGATTAACGGCTGTGATTTTGACTCCTTTGACTCTCTGTGGTAAAACAACAACCAGCAGTGGAAAACAAAAGGCAGACCCACAGTCTCCACACCACGGAATTGGTTAATGAGTCAATAATGTGGTTTTCCTCTTCTCATTTCACACATCTGAGCACTCCGCCCACACATACCGACTGAAATAGCTGCCATCTAATGGTCCCAAGAAAACAAACAACACAGCGCATCCTCTCGTCTTCGGAGAGCAATTTCTCTTCAAACTGCGTACAGCGACTAACATCATGCCTCTCTATTTGCACCAAATGAAGTCACATTCATCATTTCAAATGGAGAATCAGTGGCCCAGGATTGGAGACAAAGCCTGAAATTTAAAAACTTATTATGAGTGAAATTTCTCCACAATTACTAAATGGATTGTCATAAAATTTGATGCAGACATTTATTCTCCCATCGGGGTAACGATGATCCTCTGACTTTCTGGCCCATATTTATTCCCAGGATGTCAAATAGTGGAGTTTTCTCAAAGCCATCGCTGTGCCAGATTTACAAACAAGGTAACTTATTTCAGTTTTATTTATATGGTGCATGAACCCTCCCTCCGCCTCCCTTTGAACAAGCACTTTGGTGACAGTGGAAAGGAAAAAAATTCCCATTTAACAGAGAAACGTCGATCAGAACCAGGATCAGGGCGGAGCGGCCATCTGCTGTGACTGGTTGGGGTGAGGGGAGGAAAGCTAGTCGAAGACCTGCTGTGGAGCTCTAAGTGTATCTGCATTTAAGCACACCGGGCTCTCCATCTGAAGGGTCATGTTTTAATCCAGCACAATCTTTTCTAAACATTACTATTTTCAAGTGCCCAAAAACGAGCAAAAGCAAAAACAACAAAACAAAAAGTGAGCAAACACTAAATTAATCTGCAAATAAACCAAAGCACCAAGATTCAAACCGGAGTCAAACTGTGGTCTTCTGACTGAGAAACCTGTGACTCAATCAACTCTCCTCTGTCAAGCTCCTTATGCTGACAGGACTGTTATGTGTGTTGAACTGCAGCCCCAAAGGGCATCTTGTGCATCAAATCATTGTGAAGATGAGCCTGGTATCAAAATGTAGGTTTAGAAGAAACAGCTGACAAAAACAAGATTTCCGCTTTAGATTGTGACACTTTGAGTGGGTGTAAAACTAATTATTTGAAGATGTTTTTTGCTACTCCACAAATAAACATATTTACCATTTGGTTCAGTAGCTAATTAGACAGAATATTCTCACAGTTTTATCTTTTGATAGTTTCTGTCGTGTTATTTCAACAAGGGCAGATAAAAAGTTGTGTATTAATGTGAGATTCTTCCCTATTTGTTGTATTTTGCAGATGGCCAATGCAAACACAGCCACCTCCAAGTCGAATTTGATGCATCTGCAGCCATCGTGGCCACCGGCTGAATGACTCTGCAGCTGCGGCGTGAGCAGACGGAAACCTGAGACTCTTCCACAGAGTGTCTGACATTTAACATCTGCCACCTTGCTGTAAGGCAGCTGTTGGCGACGACTGGCCTTTTCATTGATAGTTTTGTGGGTGTTTTTTGGTAATATTTGATTTTTGTATGTTCCACCACTGGATGAAACAGAAATTGTTTATTTGTTGTGGTACTGGCACAACACAAAGCGATATGGTGTAACAAAACAGGAAATCTTACCTAAAGAGTGCTCACAGGCTGCTTTTTTCTCCCCACGGCTGTCAGGAAAGAGGTTAAAGTTGTGTCTACTTCACTATAGCGTCCCCTGGTTAAACCAGTTGCTTTCTAGCTGCTGTGAAATATCTCCTCAAAGTAATAATGTGAAACAAAAAACTCTGCGGCAGCTTTTGAAGGAAACCTGAAGAATCATATAAAAACGGATGCTCCAAGCATGGATGTGAAAATCCTGAACTAAAGTACAAAGACAAAAGTTCTTGCTCTTATTTTGAATAAGAAGTTGGGGATGGTCTTCTACTCTCCCTGAGAGAGGTCTCTCTATAGGTTTTTTAAATCTCTAGTTGGCAGAAGGACTAAATAACATGCAGCCACGAACACTGAGCAACGTTCACCTTCATTTAACATTGTGGCATCCTATCACGATACCACACTGGAATTCACTGCGCTCTAGAGAATAACCAATTCTGGAAGTGACCTGATTTCAGTGATTTAGAGGAGTAAGTAAATGCTTTTGGCCATATAATGTAGCGTTACACAGTTACCCGTTCCACCACATCCATCCATTTGAGTGCAGTAAACTCGATGGCCTTAAGGGGCCCAAAGTGTGCTAAGAAAATATCCCCACTCCATGACAGCCTGAACTGTTGATACAAAGCAGGATGGTTGTTTACATTTTGACTCTACTTCCTGAATATTGCAGTAAAACTCGAGACTCGTCAAACCCGGCGGCATTTTTTGAATCTTCTGCTGTGTAATCTTGAAGAATTTACAGAAAGCCCGAACATTAAACTGCCTCCATTTACTGGTGAGTTCGAAAGCATAAATTAGGAATTCAGTGAAGGAGATATCTGGATGTTCACTTTGAAAAGTCATTTTAATATTGTTACATTTTGTTATATTTGTAACATTTGAGATGCTGTTTTGATCAGGTCTCGCTTGTAAAAGTCATCTCAATGGACTTCCTGGTAACAACAATACTCCAAATATGCGGCGTCTTCTGCTGCTGCATGTTCACAGATGCCTTGGTTACATTTAACTATATCTTTGAACTAATCCTTCCCTTCAGCTTGAAACATCCTCCTCTGACCTCTAACATCAACAAGGTCTGATATTTTCTTTTTCAGGCCTCTGGATATAGCAGACAGACTGGTCTGCTGCGATTTTACTGCAGAAGCATCCCTAAGGTTTACAAAACCACTTAAAATATCTACAAGCCTAAATGCATAGCGCTCTTGCCAAGTGACTGGCTGATTAGATGTGTTTGCAGGCAGCTGAAGAGGAGTACCTTACAAAGTGGCAGGTGAGTACAGATTGATCTAATGGCCTGTGTATTCTAATGTGCATTTAAAATTTGTCTACATTAAATAAACAAAATCGATGGCAGCTTTCCAAATCCAAAGAAATCCAATCAACACGGCACCAGAAGCACTTTTAAAGGCATTTATTGATGAAATACACACTTAGGTTTTGACAAAAGCTTCTGTAGTTTTGTATGAAAGAAATTCCAGCCCCAAAACTCCTTGAATTAAATGACAGTGGAGATCAACTCATTACATGTGCAATAAATAACAATAATACAAAAGGAGGCAAGGAAAAGGACACCAGAATAAGAATCTGTGTTGATCTGAAAGCAAACCAAAACCCACAAAGAAAAAAAAACAGTCTGGGGTATTTGTGACAAGAAGAGACTAAAGTAAAATCCAGTCGTTTGAATTTTGGGTGCATTAGTGTATGTTCTGAGATTCCCTGGTCACCCTCAGGACCAGAAGGCATTTAGTGACCTGAGGACCTGACTGGAAAAAGAAAAATCATTTCAAAATTTAAAAAAAAAAAAAAAAAAAAAAGGCTGGAACCATCTGGGAACTGTATATTGCACCTTTTCCTTGCCAGTACAATAACCACATTGCCACATTCATACCTTTTTTTTTTTTTTTTTTTTTAAATAAACTTGACCTAATGAATATGACCCATGTGTTTTGTCACACACTGCGAAGACGACACTTTATTTAATACGAAAGAGGGGGAATGAGTCATAATTTAAGCCATTTTTCCTGTACGAGTCTGCTCAGTTTCACAAAGAAAAGGGGAAAAAAAACTGCAAAATTATGAGCAAGAGCATAAATGTCAAACACTTAAAAGCTACTGCAGAGGTCACTTTTTCAGCATAAATAAATATTTATACAAAACTGGACAGATCAGGCGACAACATCAGGGGAATGTCATTGTGAGATTTAGTAGATGACGACTGATTCGTTCTGAATTGCTAAAGCCAATAGTTTGGAGTCGTTCGCAACTGCTGCGCCTTTGCAAATGAGACTTTGTTGCCCTGATCGGCAGTGAAAAATCACCCGAAGTGGCAAAACAATCCATAATTTAAGCAGACATTTGCTCTTCAAGCTGAACCACCTGTGTGCTCGAGGGCTGCCGGCTCAAATGCTCTGAAGAGACACCCCAGCCAAACGAATCTATATTTTTTCGACCGTTTCAGTTCACGTGGCTCATGTGGTTCATACGAGTGAGGTCTCAGTCTCTGCTGCACACAAAGCCAGCCTGTGAGATTGCTGCGCCTTGCAGAGAACTCAAACAAGGGAGAAAGAGAGCTGGGTAACAAAGAAAGCTACCAGACTCCCAGAGTGGACGCTTATTACAGCAGAGTAAACACAGGAGAGCCATTTGAAGTTGCCAGAAACAATTCTGCTGCCAACAAGCCTGAAATGAAAGCTGAAATGAAAGCTGAAATGAATGCGGCTGCCGCTGAGGAGGGAAGTTTCCGAGCTCAGAAAACTGTTCAAAGTGGCCTGAATAAACTGTTTACTCGTCTTGCCGTCATGGCGGTGGAGCAAACTCGCTCTGCTCAGGCTCGACGGTCCACGTGAAGCGGCTAAACTTTGGCCGGGCTTCACCGAGATCCCAGCAGGAGCTAACAAACAGGCTGACAGGAGATCAGGGTCAAAGCAGAGATGAGCCAGAGACATTTCAGAGCAGATAGCAACACCATCTGCAGGCCTCCTGGAAGCCTCTCATCCTGCCTGTCAGCATAGCAGCACTGATGTCTCGATGTTAGTCCTAATAAAAAGGCGAACACTGATCTGTTCTGGCGCAAGATGCGGCCAGCATCATCTACACACGGGTGGCGAGAAGGTCGAACCTCCTGAGAGAAACGTGTAGACGAAAACACAACCAGCTGTACACGATTTTAAATTCATGGATGTTCTAGTCTTTCAGAGCCAATTATCTGTTAGAAATTGGAGTGAGACTCAATCGAACTCGGAGGCGCAAACATCTCACCAGTGAAGCCTGTAATAAGTGCGAGTTTCTCTTTGAGGCACGAAATTGCAGCAGGTGCACCCAATTTCTCACCACTTTTATTTGTCACAGCATCAGCCCCGTCACAGTCTATGACTTATTTAAAATTCCCTCTGTTTCCTTTCCAAAGCGAGCCTAGACAAGTAGGGAAACCCAATCTGAAAGTAGGGAGGGGATCGAGCGTCTTCTTTATCAGACGCCCAAGGACTGGAGCACGTACGGCGGCAGGAGAGCGAGAGCTTCGACACAGATCCTTTTTGTCTCTGAAGTTTGAAGCGAGTAGTTGTTAGCACCATAGAGAGCACCAGCAGCAGAGACGCAGCCTGACCGTCACTGCGGCGAAGACCTCGCCCTTTCCACCTTTCCATCAGGTCACAGGGCTTTTAGGAGAAAACAAGCACGAGAGGGTAAACAATTCTAATTTTGACTTAAAAGCTGCGCACCAATTTTGCTCTTTGTGTGACACAAAACGCCTTGGAGTTGTTCTATTTGGGCTCATTAAATTTTAGTTTTAGTTTTCATCGACACACAAATGCAACAGATCCAGAAGGTAAACTACTCAAGGCTTTAGAGAGGATTCAGAGTGAAACATTTGGAAAGACTTGATCGTGCCGAACGATGACCAGGATGAGAGCACTAACGATCAAAGCAGGGAAAAAGTGAACGTTTGAAGGCGGATGTGAAACACAAGGGCGTTTCCGGAGCAGTGTCCTGCATTATATCTTTTCCGTTTGTAGTCGTGAGTACAGTAGCACCTTGTCAAGTGTTTTACAGCTCAATCGCTGAATTACAGTAAAGAGATTTAATCAGTGACAACCAAACACGACGAGAACTCCAAACGAGTTGTGACAGCCGAACGGCAGAAAACACGATTACGATCTAGGACTGCAAACCAGAGGACTTAAAACACAGATCTCAGTGTCAGTGATAGCTCCGGGAAGCGTACTCGACACTCGTCCGAGTACTACGAAATAATCAGTATAAGCCTTTAAAACACCAAGTCTGCACTTACAAAGACATAATATCACACAGATATTACATTACGTTTGCAGGGATTAGTACATACACAACACTCTTCCACGAGCTGAGAACATGGCCAGGCTCATTGTTTTTGGTTTTTAATCACTTTCTATGCATGAAAATTTATTGTAGCAAGAGTCCGACCAAGTAAAAAATATTAAGAAGAACAAAGAGGAGGAGAAGTAATACCCGGAGAGGTATTTCTGGACAGGCCAATTCAAATTTCACCTTTTTAAAATAATAATAATAAAATAAAATACTAATTTACATAAAAACCATAAACAATGAGCACCCTACAAAAGGTAGCTGAATTAAGGTCCTTGAAACATAAAGGTCAGCACATGAATGAAGCATGCAGAAGGAGTTTTGGTAGAGCTGGTTTTGTACAGACCTGTAGGCTATAATGCATTTAATACACACGTCATAGGTCCTAACGAGTCCCTACACATTGCTTTGTCGGCCAATTTCAAATCACTCCGCCAGACTTGTGAGATCTGAAGATGCATAGGAACCCCGCACATGAGCGTACAGACAGACGGCTTGTTGTGGGGCGATACAACGCAAAAGCTGAACTGCCGTTTTTAATTACTGATAAGAGAAGTCAGTGAGGTAAGACTACTTGAGGTCTGACACGCTGCTCAGGGATCCAGTTGTGGTCAAAGACAGTTCGGTTCAGGATTTTTAGGGTTAAGACATTTTGCTTTTGACATAACATCAGTTTTCTGCGTCACAAAGTTGAGAACGGCATGCTCCCGCATGAGGAACAATCCTCCTCAAGGTCAGAAACACACATCTATAAGCACCAAATGACCAAACAGCAGTCATTTCATTATCAAAATGTTCAAAAAAAAAAAACCTCAGCCTCCTCGCTGAGAAACCTGAATTTGCACGATATTTCTTTCAAAAAGACTCAAAATCGTCTTGTTAAGTCAACAATATTGAACACTGGCTACTCTGCAAAAAAGGAAGGAAAAAAAAAAGGAAAATCCAAGTTTTATACTGATTTTCTTTTGTTTTGTGTGTGATTACAAGCCTAAAAATATTCGCTTATCTTTCAGAAATGCTGTCGTATTGATGCGTTTAAAGACTTTGCACCTTTGCTCTCCAGCTGGCAGTGAGAACTAACCAAAGTATAACCCAGAAATGGAAAATAGCGATATCGCTAACCTGCACTCATGTTTGCAGAACTGGCACATCTGTGACGTTTGAATCCATCTGAAGAGACGAGCTTGAAGTTTATAATAAATGTCACTTCCCTTCCATGTTCACCATAAAAAAGAAACTAGGATAAGACCGTCTCTGAGGCTGTTAAGATGAGGGAGTTGTCTGTATCTCTACATTTCTACCTTGCAGCTTCGGTAGCTCTGCAGTAAAAATGGAGCTGAAGGAAATGTCTGGAAGGATGGAGGGTGCCAAAAAATATCTACAGCTAGCAGCTCAAACCAAAAGCTGTAAACATGTGGGTGGTATGGGCATACACCTGCCTGGTGCTGCTGCCACTGAAAGACTGCAGAAACACAGGGACGGATATTAAAAGACTGCACGGTGGGTACCGAAAACAATGTTTAAAAAATGAAACATCTTCCGGGCATCTACGGACATGAGTGTTTTGTGTAATGTTAAAATGTGTTAATATAACTAAAATTAACAATAAATGTGTTCTACTGAAGGAAGGTGAGATGGGAAGGATGAGGTTGGGGTGAAGCTTTCTCCTCATCGGCCCCCTAAAAGTTCATCTATCGGGGCAAAGGAACACATTTAGACCCCACATACACATAAATGGCAGAGGATTTGATATAGCTGTTTTGTGTCTTTCTCAGACAACATAAAAATGCATTTATATAATTTGATACTGATAGTGAGTCTGTCTTTAAAAATCCTAATTTATCACCTCTGGACATTTATTGCCCAACATATAGATAGCACTTCTGGGATCCACTCTCTTTTAACAGTCTAAAGTCTCTCTTCAATCTCTTTCTCTCTCTGTAATGACATTTTATGTACAATATTGGTATATAGAACATAAATAACTACACAAAAAATTAACCTATTCACAATTGACAATTGAGAACCCAATAGCAAATTAGACAAAGCCAACAGAATGAAATTTGAACCAAAAAAAAAAAAAAAGGAAGAGAAATCAGAGACTTGATAAACAGCTTAAATTTGATGCCTGTTATATAAATTTTTCCATATACTTTCTGTGCTCCCAAGACGTGTCGAGTGCGGTGTGAAAAGAACAAAACACCTTTTTATATTAAAAAAAAATAATCCTGTCCTCCGCTCAGTCATCATCTCAGGAGGATGAAGTCTGCATGGAGCTGGAAAAGACGGTCACACGATTCCCGACATCTTGTTTGCGTGTAAACAGAGCACCAGTAGTGTCTTGGTTCCGTGTGTCTCTTCTGTACAAAAGTATAAATATATGCTTTTTCTCCATATTTTTTTTTTTTTCGTTCACATATGTAGGATGTAGCAGACCAGGGAAAAAAATGGTTGTTTTAGTTTCTAAAAACACACGCCAGTGTTGCAGTGTCTGTGCTGGAGAGGCGGCCAGTTTGTGTCAGTTTGTCCCACTTTCCCTCCCCGTTAGATGGACGTTTGCTGGCTTGTGTTGACTTTTACCGTCGGGCGTTTGCTTGGTGTTGGTTGATCGTCTTTGCATAAATTAAAAAGGTTTCGGCACAGTCCGCGGCCACTGGGCCAGAAAGAAAAATAAAAAACAACCACTGTGTCCATTGTAGCTACAGCAGATCCATCTTGGGTCTGTAATGGAGCAGGAGGGGGGATTTCTGCAAGGAACAAGCAAAACACAAGCTCGAGCAAAAGGCCTTAAACCATTCACAATTAGCTTATTAACTGCACTGAAGCATGGATTGGCTTAGAAAATATGATGCTAATGTTTAAGTGCTATAGTTTAGGTACTTCTACGAGAAATAACAGATTTATGACAGACTAAATAGGTTTCCACCTACAGCAGAGACCTAGTTGTACATTAACTGTTACAGGTGGAGACGTGATGTATCAACACATGTCTGTGTTTACGCCACTGTTAACTGGAACACAAGTCCTTGAATTTGGGGAAGTCGCTTTAAGAACATAATTTGTCCTCATTTTCAAGAAGCCCGATGTTACACTCGATTAATTAAAAGAAGTCTTGAGTACAAAAAGGTGAACTTATTACTTCATTATTTTTCATTTTAAACCAGTTTTTGACAGATTTTTACAGTCTGTGTGTTTTTGTTTTTATCATAGGTGATCTAATAAACTTACATACTCTATAACTTCCAAAGAAGCTTGAAAAGCATTTGGGAAGACGTCCTTCTAGGAAGTTTTTTGTGACCTACGCTGCACAACTGAAATTTCACTGGGTACTCATGAAGGCAGGTATATGGTATAGACTCTACATGAGAAGATTACATCAGCCAGAGAAACCAAAGGACTGCTTCACTGCTGCAGCAAACACTGTAGATATGTTGGCCAAACTCTGTGTTCAAATTCAGTTTTTCTTACAAATCTAAGCACCATCTGTGTAAATGCTATTATTGTAGCGTCTACCTTACAGTATAAAGCGCCTTGAGATGACTGCTGTTGTAGTTTGGTGCTATATAAGTAAAACTGAATTTAATTAAATATGATATGCAGAAGGAATAACAGCAGCTTTGATAACTAGCTTTATCTAATGAGATGCTAACTGTTACTCATGTCGCTTGTGCTAGTTAACCAAATGGAGCTATGGCATGTGGTGAAAGCATGCTTGCCTGATGGCTGTTCAGTAAAAATATAACCTGGAAATGCATCAGACTATTGGAGTTTACTTCTGGGGAAAAGTCGCCAATATTAACTGATTATATCAATACATGAACAGTCTGTAGTCAGCTGATTAGTTTTCAGTTGATAAGTGTCCACATAGCAAAAACATTTCAGTGAAATCAATTCAACTGGATATTACTGGTAATACCAGTCTCAAACTCACAACTCATTTGTCTTTTACCTTAAATCTCCATCTTGTAACAACAACAAATTTCAAAGTGTGGTCCTTCCCCAAGATTTCCTCGTTGCATAAAATGTCCAGCTGAGAAAAGAAGCACAGAAACAAATTACTGAACGATATTTGACCCGATTTGTGCAAGAGTAGTTAACAACATGACGTTAATATGAGCGGCGTATGCTGGAGGTCTCTGCTGGTTAGTGCGAGGACAAAGTGAAACTCTACTATTTTCCCCTCTTTCTTTCTATTCTAACATCAGTGTTTCCTGGAGATGTAGCTGGGTGGGTGGATGGGTGAGTGGGGGGCTCATTTTGACATCGAGTGGCCCCTGGCACCCGCACAGAGAATCCAAAAGTTCGATACTGAACACGATGCCGGCTCGCCAAATCTACCGCTCCCCCGTGAAGCCAGCATTGATATTCTTCTGAGCAGCTCCCCGCATCTGCATCTGCCAATCAATACTGAGAGGCACGCAGGGAGGGAGAGAAAGTGAAGGCCGGGGAGGGACACTGCCACAGCGCCACCTGCTGGCTCTCAGAGAGAGCACATTTTAAGGCTGGGAGGAGTTGAAACTGTCCAGGTCTGATTGGAGGATGCAATTCAGGGGAAGAATTTCATTCTCCAATCAGGTTTTCTGTCCGACAAAACAAAACCATAAATCTAAAATTGAATTGTACAGCTGAGATGCTTTTTACCCTTAAACCCTGAAGAAACTTATTAAATCATCATTATCTAAACAGAGATGCTCACAATGAAAATCAGAAAAATGAGATGCTGAATGAAAAAAAAAAAAAAAGCAATCGAAGAAGGAAACCAGAATCTGGCACACCAAAACCAATCAAAGCATAACTGTGATCTTCTGAATTTTGTTCTATGAGATTTTAAACTAAATGAATCATTTGTAGTGATGCTGGGAAACTTGTCCATTCATTTGCTACTTAAAGGGCTGAATTGTTGTAATTCCTTATGAGGTTGCTCTAAAAGCTTCCTGACAAGCGAGGTTTCCCTGAAATGTCACAGAGAGTATTAACAGGAACGAGTAAGAGAGTCATCCCGTCCATATTAGTTTCTCTTCATTGCCTTCCTGTTAAAACCACAATTTAATTTAAAATTCTTGAATAATCAGTCCCATCATAACTTAAAGACCCCCAATAGAGCACTTATCCCTCTCAGAGCCCCTGGCTTGTGTTTCCCGGAGCTCCTTAAAGTAGAGCGGGAGGCAGAGCCTTCATCTTTCAGGCTCCCGTGTTCCTGTGGAACCAGTTTCCCACGTTGGATTTGGGACTTTTAAAATTAAGTTTGGCTTTTCACAAAGCTTATAGTTACAGCATGGATCAGTGATTGATTGCTGCCCCGGCCTAAGCCTGGCTGGACGTCTCTTCCTGTTTAAAGGGAGTTCTTCGTCTCCACAGCTGCCAAGTGCTTGGTTCATTTTCTGTTATTAAATTTACAGTTCAAAGCATTTTGAGGCGACTGCTGTTGTGAACTAGTTTCCACAGCTATAGAACTGAGTGTGTGATGGATTTTTTAAACATGCATCTCCTATATGTGAAACTTTAAGATTGGAAGATTAGCTTTTTCCAAGATAGTCTTTTAAATGCCAAAAATGTGCTTATTCTTGTAGCACATTTATAATGCTTAATAATAAGAACAACATCTTTATTGTCTTTATATGGTCATCAAAGAAGACCTAAGAAAATCTATTTGATTCCAGGAATCGATCCCTGATTTTCCTCCATTTTGGGCATTCCTTTTATCCTAGTTTCATCTGACGGAAACACTTCCTGCAGAGACATTCAGATGGCTGACGTGGCCACAACGATGGGTTTACAAACATGATCAATGAGTAACTGGTGTACTGCTCCCCGACAATGCTCTGCGCTCGGCTCTGCATTGAAAGCAGAAATCGTTTCAAACAACATCTTTTGATAGTCAGTAGATAGGACAACAATGGCTGGCTGGGAGAGCATCCGCCTCGCCAAAGCTGTGTTATGGAGGCCGACGATATGATGGAGCCTTCCCACTCATCTCTGTGACAGCCAGTTTAAAAAAACAAACAAAATAAAAAAAGGACACGGAGAAAACAGAAAAATAGACGACAAGGAGGCGACTGATGATTCAATCGAAAAATCCATCTGTCAAGTTATCGCCTACTCCCCTCCACCCTCCCATCCCCCGCTGCTTATAACAGGGTGGTAACGATAATTAATAGAAAAATTAGATCTCATATGGGCTTGTTTCCTGCTAAATATAACAAACACAAAAGGCATTGTATGAGTCAGTACAGAAGAATTACAATAAAGTGACCTTTTATGCAATTTCTTGCAATTAACTAAAACTTTCTGATACGCGGGGCCCACACGGGCCAGCTGGTGCTCCGAAAACTTAAAACAAGCGCCAAGAATTAAGAGATTTGTTCCAATTTGCTACAAATCCATTTCTGGAAAAAGAAACAATGTTTTTGTAAGAACAGGAATTAAAATGACTAAAAGCAGTAATCTGCAATCTCAATGTTTAATCACAAACTACTATAGGAATTATTGTAAAACTTCCTGGAGGGAAAGCCTGTAAGTGTCATGGTCGTAGGGTTTTGTGGAGTTTTTCAGGTTTGGATTTATAATGTTTGAAATGATGGTGTCAGGGTGCGGGTCACGCCTCTAGCTGCTGGTCAGGCTGCTTGTGATTCTCAGCTTCTAGCAGCTTTTTAGCTTTAACCCACTACTGATTCTGAACAATGTCAAAGATATTCCTAATATGACTGGGCACAGAAGCCCCACCCACTTGCTGTTCAAACTTTCTGTTTACAAGGGGCAACTAATGACAATATAGTTGGTTTAAAGGGAGGGGGAGTAGCAAAAACAGCTCCTTTCAGACCGAGAATGGCCTTAAGGGTCTCACTGAGGCTCAGCATCAGAAAAAAATGAGGATTAATTTAAACTCCAAGAACAAACATATGAAGCCATTTCTGTTCCTTTGTAATTAAGGCTAGTAGAAAGCTTCAAATGTACAGGTTAAGTCTAGCTTTGAGCAATAAAAGGATCAGAGTGATGCAGACTCTCAAGGTTATCAACATGGAGATAACAAGCGCTGAGGGGGGAAGTGTTTCCTCTTAAACTGCTTCCTTTACAGCTTTAATTTTACACCAAAACTACATTTAGTTCGTGACAGACTCATTTCCCTGTCATCATTGTTTCCCGGGCTGGTGGAGCGTGATATTATCTGTACCTCATTAAATGATGTCAGGTTAAGCTTTTTGGCAATGAACTTCTTGAGGTGGAGGACCGTGGCTTGTGCTGAACAGCGGATCCACTTGCGCTTCAGACCGCGAAGCTTGCTGCTGTTGCACTCCAAGCAGATGCTGACCTGTTAGGAGACAGAAGATGAGGATTTAAATCCTGCGTCCACTGAAGTGTGGGTACATGATCTTATCATTTTATTTTATAAGGCCATTAAGAACTGTTTCATGTTAAAGTGCTACATTTTTTTTTTAAAATATAAGCCACGAGGGATCGCAAGGTTCCTTTTAAAGAGCAAGTAGTAGGGCAGTGCTAGAGCTAGCATCAGTGACAATGTGGAGTGTGTCCACTGCAGAGCCCTGTTCTGAATGTCAGCGTAAATCTAGTGTTACATGATTGACAGAGCCTATAACTCTGCCTCAAGCTGTTTCAAATGCTGCTGTTTCACAGTCAAACTGTAGTCATGTGTGTAAAGTTAAATATAAATAAATATATAAACACTTTGGTTTAGGAAAGTTCAGAACAACTTAGACGTCTGCAGTCTTCATAAGAACCACCTTCTTACTTTGAGAAGCCCAGAAAGTTTCACCTGGCAGCACCTAAAGGTCAAAATTCCCACCTCCGCAAAGGTCAAAAACCTCATGGCAGAATTTACAAGTCCTGCAGCTGTGAACTTTTCACCCAGCAGAGCTGAATATGAGAAAACTATCCAACTCAGCTGAAGTAGACATTAAAAAGCTTGATACAAAGCTGAGGTTTCATTGATTGTGCTTATAAACGTATAAAGCAGGTAACCGTCCAGTGAAGACAGAGGTGGCTGACAATCACCAAACCTGATTTATACCAACATTGTGAAAACCGCTTCAATCTTCAATGCTGCTTTTAAAGAATGACAGAAATGCTTTCAGTCTGGATAACTAAACAGCCTTTAAGCCCCATTTGTCAGTTTTTGTTGTCACTGAGGCTGTGAACAACCACAATATTTGGTTTGCCTTCCATTTATAATCCATTCAACAATTTAATTTTGGCTGTGTAACCAGAACTGTAGCCTGCCCACCTCGACAAACATATTTCCACCTTTCTACAGCATCTCTTTTGCAAAGACATGAAACCAAGAAGCCCGGCCGCAGGGATCGATTCAGCTCACACGGTATGTGTGAAGAAACCGAAGACTTCAGGTGGATTTGTAGCTCGTTTCACCCACCTTCTCATAAAAACTCAACCTGACGCTGGTGTCGATTTCCTCCTCTGCTTCCTCACAACATCTCACTGAACCTCTGCTGCTGTTTTTTGGGGGTTTTTTGTTTATTGGCTTCTTTCACGCGACCGACACTTAATGCCATTGGCCCATTCATTTGTCTCCCCACCCCCCTGAGGTAACATGGTAGGTGGTTTTTGGCAGTGGATGGTAGCGGGAGTCAGAATGCATTACTGCTACTGGGCTCCAGCGGCACATATCAAGAGACAAAGGCAGAAGCGTTGGATTTATTCATTTGTGGGTGTTCCTCTTCCTCTTTTCATCTTTCTCTTTTGAGACGGAGAGAGCTAACATTACCCTGGTTTCTGTTTAAACTTGGAAATCATCTCTGCTCTCAAGTAAACACTGGCAGCGCTTCAGTGAGCAGCCTGCCCTTCAATAAGCAAAACCCAGATTCATAATATATCTGCTTTCCAGTGGTGCTGGCAATGAGGGAGGCTCATAATGTGAAATAAAACCCTTAGCAGTGATCTGGACTCCACGGCAGCTTGATAGCAGGCCGCAAGGCAGTTTCATTACATTAAAATAGATTAGTGACGTGCTCACAGAGCCGAGGACTCCCGCTTCAGCTAAACACACAGACGTGATGATGCAAGGGAGAGGCGTATCAAGAAAATATCGCACGAGCCTTCAGGAGTCATGAAGCGAAAGCTTTACACCATGTTGCCGAGTCCCGAATGCTTGCAGAGCGCTGATGCAACATTTCTATCTGCACCTTCTTCTGTGTGGAGTAAAAGTTTGTCTGTGTGGGTTTTGAATTTGGATCTCTGATAAATTACATTTGGAGACATCAATAAATAATTCAGAGCGAAGCTGCTCTTGCAAATGTCTCCAAAGTAGACTCTTTAAACCCAAAATAGCTGTAGTTTATTAAATTTACACAATCTGTTCTGACTCTATTAAAATTTGATATGAGCCTGAAGGTGACCCCATCTGGAGACTTTATACCTCGTCTAGAAACATTAACCTCAGAAACGAGCTTCATGCTTTGCTGCAAAAGTAGGCTGCTCTGATTAATTGCAGCTTTTATCAGGAATTTAGTTTCTCCCTTTTTAGATGAGCTTGTTGCAAGTTTCTTTCTCACCTAGCAGCACCCCAAGGTTATACTCTAAAAGGTCGTCCAGAAGACAGCGGGGGAGCGTTCTGGAAGTCTTCCATGCATGCTCACAATGCCTGCTGGTTGTTACATCTCAGTGATGAAGGGAGATTTCTGGGAGAAAATTGCTCTTCATCTTCATTCCCCCCAACTGAAACTGCTGTTTTCACTTCCATCTGCTCAGAGATGCAACATCCCGTTTTGCAGAGCCACGCCATCAAATTACTTCAACGAGAATAATATGTATATATATGACCAAAAACCCCAATAAAGCTTCTTTTAGCTGCTCCTTTATCCCGAGGGTCTCAACCACAACAGCTAGCTCTGCATATTTGAGTTTTACTCTCTCCGTGCTGTCCAGAAAATCCAAACAAAAGGTAAAATTGTTTGCAAATACGGTACTGCACTGATTTACATCTTATACATCATCTCAGCATTTTTGGAACTTGGTTTGTCAATCAAAGTACATGATATTACACGAAGGCAGCCTAAATATGAAGTCCTGGATACAGCAGGCACCTCCACAAACATCAGCTCTATATATAGAATAAGTAGCAAACTGCAGTATTTGACAGCAGGAGTAGCCCTTTTTCACACAAAGTATAAATGACTGTAAAGGTGACTTCAGAAAAACACCACTCCACTGATAATGTGATCTGCCAGCAGCGTGTGCTTGCATTTATCCGACTGGTCAATGTATGCAGGATGACACTCTGTATTATGATTTCCTGCCACATCACATCTGTGTCAGCGGCCGTTCTCATCAATGCAGCAGCCTTCCTGAGATCAAGGTTGTATTTTTGTGTGAAAGGGCTTTCCCCCCCCCTTTTCTTCTTTTCACTCCCTGGTGGTCTAAAAGCTCCCTACTTTTAAGAGTGTGCACCATCATCATCCTCTTATTTCAGCCATTTCCTTTCTGCATGTTCTGATGAGGCTCACTTTTCCATCATCTCACATTAGACATAAAACCCAGAGAATCGTATTTATGATCACCTCACCCCCTGCATGGTGACCTGACATCACCTCTCTCTCCTACACTTTGTCTCTTTTCCATCTCTCATCTTATTTTCCCTTCCCACCCTTCTGAGTTACATCTGACATCACTGCATTCAGCTCACGCAGCCCACTGTATTAGCTATTCCGAGTGCATTCTGCACTGCTGCCGCGTATCCAAAGGGCAAGATCTTCACCCTCATCAGGGCGGCCTGTTTTCCCCACATGGCAGCAAAGAAGTGGTTGTTTTGTTTTTTTAAATATAAATCCAATCTTTAGAAAAGCAACAGCTAAAACTCGAACAAGATTAATTTTTCAGCCTGCACAACAAACAGCGAGCCATTATTTCCACATGGCGTCTGTCCGGCAACAATAGAAACTCCACTCTCGCTGCATTATTAATGACATTTTTCAGGGCTTAAGAACGCGCCGGAATACAAATGGAATCAAGAAAAGGCCCATTTTCATTTTAAATATGTTCAGTGGGTAGCAGTGGTGTGTCTGTGGTGTCTGTGTGGCTCCGTGCAAATCAAACAGCCGAAAGACAAAAGAACCCAGTAATTGTGAAACAGCCTGGTAAACCACAAGGGGGCCACTTTTATAAAGGCAATAATTGATGTTCAGGCTTTTAAGGCAATTGTACAAACAATTATCACAAACAGTATTTTTATTCCTTGGTGCTTTTGTTCCTGACACAATGCTTTGTAACCCATAATTATTTTACCCGATTCACTTCCAGTATCTGCTCAAAGGAAAAAAATATATACTTCCATGCCTTGTGGACTTTTGTGCAAAATATAAAACATAATTAGACTGAAAACAACTCAAGTGCTGTGGTATCTAACAAAGCAGATATCTCCTTAGATCCGTTTCTGTACTAATAAAGCAAAGGATAGGATTATGTTTGGGTTTTCTGCTTTTCCCGGTGCCATGGACACCATAATGTCCCCGATGGCTTGAATTATCCTCAGACTTTGCTGTCAACAGTTTTCACAAAGACTTTCTCTTCAGCAAAAAGTACCTGGAATTAAAAAACAGTTGACAGCGAGGTCCGAGGATTAAGATTGTGCCAGAACGGAGGCCGATATCTCAAAGCAAGGGGGGGGGATGTGCCTTTCTGAAATGCAACAAAGTAGAAGAGAGGCTGCCACTTGAGAAGGCCCCGGAGGCAGGAAACAAGGAGCAAATGTTGTCATCCGTCAGGCTTACCTGCTCGTCACTACGGTGATAGTCGTTGTCCTCCTCTGGTTTCTCCTCTCCTGCCTCCTTATTGGCCGTGTCTTCTGATTTGGCATCACCTGTTTAAAAGACAAACAAACAAACAAGCAAAGAGTTAGAAAAAAAAAAAGATGCTGTTTGTAGGACTCAATCCAGATTCTCTCTTTATGTTTAGCAAGTTAAGAGATTTGAGGGTTACTGATGTCCACTGTGGCTGTGTTAAAAAAAGATTTGTCAGGGAAACAGGCAGGTTTGTCTCCCTGCAGTATTTAAAACAGACTGTGCCTGTTGGAGCGTGAAAACACCTCCTGCAGAAGCCCATTTATAAACCAACTACATCTTTGAGGGTGTTAAAGCATCCTTTGTATGACTTATCGTCTGTGCAGGCACGTCTCTAGCACAGGTGAACTTCTAATCAATAAAAAGCGTTCGCTTATTCTGGTCTGCATGAGGAGTGACTTCAGCTCTGAACTTAACCCTGTCTGAGTTTGCCCTTTGTTCCTTTTCTCGGATATGCTGGTTTTCAGAGAGAGCAGCACAGTCTAGTGAACATTAAGGTAAAATAGGAAGAAAAAGGCATTTCTCACAGGCTGCACTGCTGAAGGATAATGTGTTCAGAGTGCTACAAGGCAGGTAAGGTACTGTTTAATAATGCATCACACAGAGCTTTTGGTCTGGCTCTGGGAGAAGTCTGAAGACCCTGGGTCAACTATATTTGGAGTTCACACACACACACGCACGCACACACGCACGCGCGCGCTACAGGTGAGGTTTTTTTTTTTGTAACTTAATTCTAGTAGAAAACAAGGTTACCTGCATCAATATACGAATTTCACTTGCTTTACCTACAGTTCGTTACCAGAAGTAGGCAGGAAGAGATCTAACAATTACTGCAAATTTCTAAAACCAAATAAGCCAGACAAGCTACAGCAAATTTCAAATGTAGCCAAATTGGACATCAAGTTGTCTTCAACCTGCCAGCTTCCTAGTGTAAACTCTGCATGATGCCCGATTGAACGCATAGTGTTCACAGCGAGCAAGTAAATGCCTCATTTCCTGCCTCCCCCGTGTTCTATGGAGACAGCACCCTCGCCTAAAGCAAACCATATTTCTGAAGGTGAGAATGCATTTGACCCAGGCAGGCTCCTGCTGTGTTCTACACATGACAAGGGGCAATTTCAGACAACATCCTGAACTGATTGCCAACGTCTGTCCTGAGATAATGTTGGCGAACTGCTTTGAAAGAATACATGCTAAACTCAAGGGATGCTTATGCTATGATGCACCATTTCTGCAGCTTTTCTGAAAACACAGGTCTGCATCACAAGTCATGTAAACGGCAGGTTTGTCATCTTATTCCAGTGTGGCAATTTTGCTTTTACATCTGGATAACATAAAATGTATGCGTGATGCACTGATCTGCACCCATTTTCATTCTGTTAAAGTTAACTACCTCCATTCACTAGTATATTAACTGAAATTTATTAAGACAAACAAATAACTCTGAACACATCTGCATTAACACATGGATTGTCATCAATCCAGCAGCCCACTGCGCACATGATGTCAGAGCTTTGCTATTCTAACATCCATCAATCATGTGCTGCTGGGCAGCAGTTTTAAGCCCAGACGTCCCTCCCCTGGGTTACTTCCCGCAACTTATCTAAGGGAATACCAAGGAAATGGTGATATAATATCTCCAGCACATCCTGGATTTGCCCTTGACCCTCCTCCTGGTAGGACTTGCCTAGAACACCTAACCTTTACTTGTGAACATGTGTGCATCACCCTCACCAACATCTCACCCTCAACAATCACCTCCCTTCAAAGAGTGCAAAATACACAGCAATGAAACCCAAAAACCAAACACTCAAGCAAGAACAGAGAAACAAGCAGAAACAACAACAGACGGTGTGATGGTTCACACTGTGACAACACCCAAACTCCCATTAGGGCCACCTGAATCTCCAGAGCCTGAACACCAACACACACAATGGTTGCGAGAATCCACACGAGCCCAGAAAACTAAAGACAAATAGTGAAGACAGCAGTGTGCCGAACCAGAAACATACAGGAAGGTTACACCAGTGCTCAGAGCACCTCCCCTAGGACAAGACCAGAAGGCATCGTAGAAAGATGCCCAAACCACCTCAGCTGTTCCTTATGGTGTGAAGGAGTAATGGCTCTACTCTGACCCCCATCCAAATGACTCCGCTTCTCCACCGCTCTCTAATGGACAGTCTAGACACCCTATTTTTGGAAGGAAGCCTATTTTTGTAGTCACCAAACATTGCCTGTCGAAGCCAAGGGAACCATATCATCTGCCTAAAGCAGAGATAGGATCCTGAGATCTCGGAATCTGACGCCATTCATCCTTTGACTCCTTTTAGAAATTCTGTCTATGAAAATTAAGAAAAGAAGCGCTAACAAAAGACAGCCTCGGTGGAGTCCAAAACCTGAACCCCGCTCCTGACCCTAAACCTAAGTGAATCGCCAGTGACCTGGTGGATGTTAAAAGGTTAAACATTTACAGGTGTGAGGCAGAATTATGATGTTCATTTGACTTTAGGTACATCTAAAAATGAAGTCTCATTCGAAGTATTTGATTTTCAAAAATGACATGCTGTCTCGCTGTAGAGACTTTTAGATATACATCTAAATCTAACACACTTCCCGATAATTTCAAACCTCACACTGTGAAACAGATGCTCCACAGTTGTCCGGGACAGCTGAGGTTTATATATTTCTCTAGGGATTTTCTTGTTGGCTGTGATATTGTAGTAGTATTGAATTTTTAGATATGAAACTTGGTTATCAAAGTCAAAATTGCATTGCAGTGACAAAATTGCCACATGGGCAAGTATTGCTTTTCTGTAACCTTTAAAAAACAAAGAAATTCGGTCTGTTCTTCCTGGATTCAGTGGATGTAATAACGTACGTGTGTGTGTGTGTGTGTGTGTGTGTGTGTGTGTGTGTGTGTGTGTGTGTGTGTGTGTGTGTGTGTGTGTGTGTGTGTGGACAGTTTAGTCCTACTCAGACAGTAGATGCTATTGGGAGCACCCCTCTGTGACCATTTTCTGTCTGGGCTAACTGTCACCAATTCCACCAAGTATTATTGAGCTGCTCTGGTGTCTCTGTGGTGATTGTCTCCAGAGTGTGCCTCACTGATTGCTTATCACCAGGGTCTTGCTCTTATTGTTGTGCCTCACCTTCAAACAACTCCTGAGCATCTGAGTGACTCAAACATGAAGTCCTGGCTTTTGTTCGAGGTGATGGCATCGTGTAATGGGTTGATTGCTTGGGTCTGGGGATTAGAAAGACTGAGCAGTCTGTCTCTTCCAAAATTTCTTTTTGTTTCAGAAAAATCATCTACTCTCTGACAGGTTTATGATTTGTGGGAACTCTTATAAACAGTCGAATCCCAAAGGCATGTACTACAACGTTTTTGAGTGATTCTGCTGTGTAATGGCAGTGAGATGGAGTAAACTGTGTGTTAGTGAGTGGGCGTTTATATTGTCATGAAGTAGAAAAGGGCACTCGACAGACTCATCATCGCCCCATGTCTCCCTATTTTCTTGTGTAAAGTGCTCAGAAAAGAAGGTCATTTAGAGAAATGAGTCTGCTGTATACTAGAGGAGGCCAGATTTTTAACAGTGTTTGGGAAAAAACTCAGCTTATGCACTTAAAAGCACAGCTAACACGGCTTAGATCTACTGTGCGAAGGCTTAAATCGTGCAGTATTATAGCTTAATGGCAGTGTTATCAGTGGTTAAAATATTGGGCCTGTTGCACATGCCACGTTTGTCTTAATGTAAGTAAACCTTCAGTTGGGAATAAAACACACACTTTTTGCAAGAAAGTCCACAGAAACATCTCTAATATTGCTTTGCATGTTTAGTATATTCCAATCAATCAGCATATTACTGACAGATAACTCAATATTGCAGTTTCTGTGAGAGACTGTGAGACTGAATGCAGAGCTTGGAGGTACTCTGTTAAGCCGCCTTGGAAAGTGTTTGGAACATATTGATAAGAGAGCTGGATTATGCATTGTCAAGGAACAAGCTGCAAATATGTCATACTTAGAGCCAACACTTAAGGAAGAAAATAGGCAAATTATGAACTGCCACTGGTCCCCTGTAATCAATAAAATGTGATTTTTGTTCTGTAATTGTTCATCTCTTTAGGGTATTAATGCACTGAGGGAGCATTTGGATTAAGGTCCCAACATGACTCACAATGTCCCTGATTCAGATCCACATGCAGGTCTGTACTACATGTGCTCTGTTTAATTAACAGACATTGCGTCATTTATTTCCTGAAAACACACTCTTTCTTCCAAATATTACAACCTCTGGTTGTGACTTCTGTGCTCATGGATTAGAAAGTGTCGATCCGTCTTCTATAAAGCGGAAGAGGTTAACTTTATTCAGCTGATTAGAAGGACCTAAAAAAAAGTTCCTAATTTTGAGATTCTGGGTAAATGAGCCTTTAATTAAGTGTAAAACTGCTCAGCTCTGGCAGGAGAAACATTTACAGAGCGCCCACTGTCACCTGTTGTTAGTGCAGTGTGATCTCTGCGATACCATCTGTTAACTTTGGTTTGCTATTCTTAGATAGGAACCTAATGAGGAGCGTCCATTTTCTCAGGTGGGAGAGAAAGATTTCAAGTAAACAAACCAGCCTGCTCGCGGTGATGCTGGATAAACAAATTCTGACTATGACTTAATATTTTTCACCGTTTTGGGAAATCTACCCAGCTTTAAGAGCTACAAAACAGAAGAAAATAGAAATACAGTAGAGCTTCTAGAGGCCAGCAGCTACACAATTTAAAACTAGATTTGTATTGTCTATTTTAAAATAGAGTACAAAGTAGTTTTTTGTTGAGTAGTTTAAAACCAGAAAACCTCATTATTATTATTTTTCCAGTTGGGGCGAAGAATTGTTGGCATTGACCCCCGTGTCCTGGAGTGGGACGTGGGGCATGACTCAGATGAGCCATCGCTGCAACCGAACACCGCCTGCCTACATAAAATCACTGCCTACTACTTTAAAGCTTTTATACCACATGTATTCAAGTCAATGCAAACAGAATCTCTGTAACTTTAATGAAAGTCCTGACAGGTCTTCAAAGAATCTGGATGCAATGTCAAATCGCTGAGTCCAGATTAAAGATGGATGCAGATAATTTACAACCTGTAAAACAAGTCAACCACAACCAGATGACTAACACATACCCAGGATGCACTTTATCGCTTCTGAGGAATGTGCGTTTTTATTTACAGTGCCTCATACTGCATTAGCCTGTATGTATAGACAGATGATGGTAATATTACATACTCAGCCTAGTAGGATTTTTGCTGCTAAACCACCCCTTAAGCACCACTTTGTGATCAATCTAACCTATGTGTAATATTGTGACACTCCTCGGCTTTCTTGTCTCTCTCAAACATTTGCTGGCGTTGTCGAAACTTTTTTATGCAATCTAAACCATGACTGGGGAACTGTGGCTGTATTTTTAGCTCAATTTGTGGCACTTGCAAAACTATCTAACACTAATGGTGTTGTACAACCATGGTGAGTCTTTTCAAGAGTGGCTATTTGAAAAGACCACTCACCGTGGATGCATTACGGAGAACTGCACACAAGATGGTGTGCCATTAGCCGGCTACCTGACACATGGATGTTATGCACGATGCCTTTTTCTATTCAGACTTCCATTTGGCTCAACACACATGCACGAATGGATTAAATAATATAAAGTTATAACAGCTCAATAGTCTAAGATCTTTTTCTTACATTGTTGAACCAGATGGATGAAATGAAAAGAGAAATTTTGTTGTGCAGTGTGACATTTTCTTTGTTGTGTTTTCAGTGATTGTATATAGAGACGAGCTTTGAGGGAGACCAGACGGTAAACCAATTATCTGAAATTCACTGGAGTTAAAAGGAAGCTTTCAATTCCTTAAAAGGCTGGTAGCTTTAAAATCTTCAGAAACGCACGAAAGAGAGTGAATTTCTATTTCCATAACATGCATTTGGTTTTCTATAGTTTCCTCAAGTCAAGATTATTTTTATCACCGCTCAAAGCTAGAGACATATTTGTTTGTTCAATGGTGAAACGGAGCCCAGGAGTTGCTTTGTTTCTTTTTCTGTTGGCGTCTGTGCAAATGGTCCTTAAAATGTGTTTGGGTATGAACATTTAGAGGTGTGTGTGTGTATATATTCTATAGCTAAACCTGACTTCCAGCGACAAAGCTCGAGAATCCAGAGAGCAGTTCCACTTCCATTTGAACCTTAATTACCAAAATCAGAGAGGGGGATTAAGCTAGCGATTAGGCCTGCCAGCATGACAGCCCTCTGGGTACACATCTACACCAACCCTTGGAAGCGAGCAGGTTTGGAAAAGCCATTGTGCACAAAGAGCAGGCCAGAGGCTCGTTATGATTGGCTAAATTGTCTTTATCTGTACTGTTTAATGGCTTCTGCTCTTACTCTTGGTTGTGCTTCTAATGTTTCTCATTACTGGCCAGAGACTTCATTCTTTACACATTATCAGCACGACATCCACACTGCAGAGGTGAAGTCTCATTTATAACAACATGACGTTAGCATAGAATAGTTTAGAATGAAACATGATAAGCAGGCTGTTCTTTAGGGATCTGTGACCGGCAGGTTTCTCAGTAAGGTTTCTACCCTTCACTTGTCACATTCATTTAAAAAAAGCAAAACAATCAAAATGCCACACTCTTAAAGACTTGGGAACAAACAAACAAACCCATCTACATCCATCACAGCTCGTCTTTTGTCCCGTCTCCATCCAGTCACTTCTAACCGGTCCACAGCAGATGTTTGCCCCTCCCTGAGCCTGATTCTTGCAGAGGTTTCTTCCTGTTAAAATTCAGTTTTTCCTTCCTACTGTTGTCGAGTTCGTGCTAATAGGGGTTCGTCTAATTGTTGGGGTTTTCTCTGCATTACTGTAGGATCTTTGTCTAACAATATAAATAGTTTTGAGATGGTATGAGAAGATATGAAAAAAACATAACTGACTTGAATTGAAAATTGAATTCTACTAACATACTGAGTGCAAGTATGTAAATACAATATCTGCACGTTACCATGCATAATTTAAGTATAATATGTGAATGCATATTGTGCATGTGTCTTAGATTGTTTAGGTTGCCAACAGGTAAAATCCACCCGGACAATCAATACAACATTATTTACACCATTTTTCAAAGAGGCTGCAGGAAATATTTGTTTTCATGCCTGCAGTACTTTTTTCAGCCAGGTTGAGCCCTGGTGCTATTTGGAGGACCTTCAACTCACAGCAGCATCACGTGACAAAACCAAACAACATCCTCTCGTATGCTGCATTCACTGAGACTGTTATGTGCCACCGTTAAGGCTGTGTTGACTAAAGGTCAAATCCTTCACGTCAAACAAATACGAGACCCGTCACAGGTGCATGTTAGGTGTTGGTTTAAATGCAGAGCCAGCTCCAAACTAGATGAAGCAATAAGAAAGATTTTCTGTGGTTCTGAAAACAGCGCGAGTCTGCGAGGCTAACGTACCGTTGCGTTGATCTAGATGAGTCTTCATGTTGCAAAGTTCTCCTTTAATGTCTCCGGGCACCTCCATCCCCAACTTCTGATAGAATTCCCTTTGTTTCTTTATCTCCGCTGCACAAGAGCCAAAGGAAAACAAAAAAGAGTTAAAAACAGAAGTCCTTTTTGCCAAGGCTGATGCTGTCATCTTTTTAACATTTAGAGAAGCATGTGTGCACTACAGGGAGCTTGTTCCTTAGGAGTTCTGAGGTTCACGTACAACAGCGAGGAAAAACAATATTAAAATGATGCATTTTTCAGTCAGTTTATCAATGCATGCATGCAAGGGAAGGCTAAAAAGTTACGTTTTAAGGAAGGATCTCTTGTAGGTTGCATCCCAGGAAATAAATACACAATACTTACCCTCTTGTAGTCCCGGTACCAACTTATAGACAATGTCTTGCATTGTTCTGTCATGGCTATAAGGGACAAGAAAATAATTAGTTACTTTAACACGCAGTGAAAATTAACATTATAAAAAGGGAAAAGCAACTGAGTTTCAAACCCAGAGATTCAAAAACTCACAGCGAACAAGATAAGATGCACTTGTACAATTTCATAACACATTTGCATGTTTTTGTAACTCACAGCAGTGGATCCCTACCTTCAAGTCTGGACTGGAATCCACAAAAAAAAACAAAAAAACTCAGTCTGAAGTCATGAGATCATTAACATGATAGGAGAGAACGTGGGAAACAATATTCTGCTGTTTCTTTTCTTATCAAAATTCCCCTTAATTTTTTTCCTTTTCTTGTATGTAATGCTGCATAATCAGTCCAGCCTCTGCATGCAGCAGTCTGAGAGGGTGGAATAACATTTGGTTGAACTATTGAGAACCTGTAGATTTTGCGCATCCTGTTATGACATGCTGCAAATGCCCCGAGGTAAAACTATAAGTTCTTGCCACCCTGCACTGTAAAACACTATCCTGTTAAATGACTGAAAATCTCAAGGTGACATGCAAGAAAATAATCTCACAAAGCCCCAACTGACACCCTCAAAGGCTGATGTTCAGCATGCGCTCTGTCAGAGTGTTAAATGGTTAAATGGCCGCTTCCCCCGTGCTGGTGACATGGTGCACAGTGGGTACGCGTTATGTGTGATGGTGTGTTTTGACACCCAGTGCTGACAGCCAGCTAACAGACAAAGTGTGCTGTTTGTTGCAAGGTTATGGAGGAGAAAAATGAATAAATAATAATGTGACATGTTTGTCTCCCCTGCTGTCCACTGAGGAGGAGTCATATCAGGGACCGAAATTAGCCACCTAATGCTGAGGATTGATCCCCTGCAAAAAAGCAGGGAAACACTGACCCCTGCTGGACAAAACTGATTATAGCCCTGAGATCTGTTACTGGCGTTAAAAATGTCCACATTGTGAGAAATGTAGACAAAAATCACAAATACTTTGTGTGTTTCTGTGTTTTTATTTCCTGATCCCGCCTGGAAGTTTCTGAATCATGAGACTTTAAAAGGTCAAATAAATATCCCATTAAAAAAAAATGGACAATGAGTGTGTTCATCATCCAGCCCTGTGCAAATCACCTGAGTTATCACTGATAAAGAAGCAAATAAGAGCATAAAGAACCCAACAATTAAAATGTGATTGTGCCAACTAAAACGACTGCAGTCTCACACGCCCACATCTGCTGCTCTGATTGGGTCTTATGAGCCACTGCATGTCTTTCCCTCCCCCATGCCACCATGTCCTTATCACATGAGCTCCTTCCTGAAGAAGAGATAAGCCTTGGCTACCAGTGGCCAACTCCACATGGACACTGAGTTACAGGCATTGTTCTCCTCCTTCTATGGATCTGTTTTAAAAGCCTATGAAAACAAAGTGACGTGCACATTAACTCTAAATAAAATGATCCAGCAGCCCTGAACTGTCTCTAAATGTTAACATAACCAAAATATAAATGTAACAAATATATCATTAAAAAAAAAAGTAGTGGCATGAATCAACACCATGTTTTGAAGTAACTAAATGAGACCAAGTGGTAACAATATGTGCACATTTCCTTCCCAGAGCTACTGATTCCCAAGCTGTTTGCACGCATGTAACCGCAACAATTTAAAGTATGTGAAAACAAAATGGATTAAAACAATCAAAGAAAGCCACATTTGGCGGGCGGAGCGGCAGGATTTGTTCTGCCCAGCTGATTCTCTGAAGAGACATCCGACTGTGATTTTTAAGCCTAAATCTCAAACATCAACTTTGATCAATCTTCCCAATGAGCAGATGGGGTTTTGCTTGTCATCTGCTGGGCGTTTTGCCTTCAAATCACTTGTGATGTTTTCCATCAGCTCCAATTTCCTGCAAACAATGAAGGGAGGAAGAAAAAAAAACCCAAACAGCTGCGCAGAGAGCTAATGCGTTTGAAATGGAGCATTTCCTGCAAAACAATGAGTCTGCAGAAAGCGCAGTTTACACAGTAATGACTAAATTGCTGGTGCACATTAGGTTTGTGTGCCACATTTATCAGACGTTAATGCGTGAGCGCTCAGAGGGGCAGACACCACACGATGCTTCGCAGAGCAGGATTTAACCAGCCGGAGACGGCTACCATAAGCAATAAGATATTTACAAAAGTCAACGCACTTATCTCTACTCAATTAACAGACTTGAAGTACAACTTTCCTTTTTCATATTTAGTTATCAAGAAACAGTGGGGAACGCCGAGCTGCGATGCCACTTTGATGCAAAATCCCAGCAGCGGTTTATGATCATAGCTGCAGGATCATCTACTGTATATCTACTTTATAGCAACTGAGCCGCGCTTTATAATGCACACAGACATGTTTGTTCTTTTGAAGATTTTTGAGCATAAGCAAATAAAACATAAAAATAAGACAATGAGCATCTTTGGATCTCAGTGGGCTACAGCTGTTTTTTTACATTTTAAATGTGCAATGTGGATAAAGGGATCTCTTTGCTTTGGTTAAAGAGAAAAATATAATTTAGCTCGTGTATTTTACTAGTCTTTAATAAAAGTAGAGGGAAACTCCACAGATCCCAAAGTTGGGTTTTTTTTAACGGGTGTTTGAAAGTATTACTGCACATCCAAAAATTGGAGAAAAACATGGGAAATAAAACTGTAACCGCCGTCCTTCCTGGTCTGATAACATTTCAGGTGAGCAATGCAGGTAAAAATAAATAAATAAATCATTGTAAAAATCATAGTAATAATTGCATCACTAACAGTAACAACCTTCTGCACCGATGTTATCGTGTAAGGCAGACGGGGAGAGCTGTTATCGTTCCAGCCACAGATTACAGGCAAACCTAATCAATGAAATCACACCGACTTGTGTGATTAATGTGAGAAGCTGCTCACGCTCAGCCCTCCATGTTTAAATGGTCAAAGTTTAATAATACATTGATTGTACTAACTGTACAATGAGCATGTATTTTCTAGACTCTTGTGCAGAAAACAGAGCTGTGAATGGGTGTGGGCTTTAAGTGTTTTTGTGCGAGGTGCAAATCTACAAAAGAAAGCAGCCGGACCACCCCGAGAGGCTTTTTGTTTCCTGCAGAAGAGCAGAAATCAAATGGAAAAGGACCGCCGGCTCTTTGGTCCTCGGCAGTTTGTTTACTGGCAGAGCACAGCTGATGGCACTCAAAGTGTGAATGAGTGAGTGTGTGTGTGCGTTTGTGTGTGTGCACTTTGCGGTGGTTCCTCACTCACCCGATATACTGCAGTGGATGGCTCTGATGAATAACAATCCTACACGTGGGGCACGTGTTGTTTTCCTCCAGATACTTCACAAGGCAGCTTCTGCAGACTGGAGACGCACAGCAGAAATGTACGGTTACTCTTCATCGTGGGCACACACGCACGCACACAGAGCATCTTTCATTCAAGGTCTTTATTTGTAGAGAAAAGAATCTGCCACACATTTTTAGATTTCCCTGCTTAATACATGAAAAGCAAACCGTTTTCCTCGGCTTTTTAACACTCGAGTTTGCATTCGTTGATCTCTGTGCAGCGCTGTTGTACTTGCTGTGTAGCTTTATTTTCTTTCTTTCTTCATGTACATCTACGAATGACCTTAAAGTTCAAACACACTTGGCCAATTTGATCTTTTGGTCAACCATTACACCCTGCATCAGTTAGATTCTTTAAAATGCAACTAAAACTCTCACCACCAGGAGGCAGAGTTTTTACCAACGGGTGTTTTTGGATGTGTGTTAGTATTCTTAAACTTTTTAATGTCTTTTTAGTCCAATCCCCATTTCTTCAACAGGCTTTGCTTTTCCAGGCCATAAAGGAGAATAAAGCAAATAAAGGAGAATGTGTCCTTAATGGTTACACTGTACTGGTTCACCAGCCTGACCCCAGTTCAACTCCAGTTGAGAACTCTTAAACACAATATAGCAAGATTTCAAAGGTAGTACTGATTGCTAACAGCTTTAGTTTATTTTTTGAAGGTGATTAAAGTCAGTCTGTCTGCAAAGTTCAGGGGCAAGCTGGCAAACTTAACTAAGGTGAATTTTACCATCTCCAGCTGATATTTAATGGTCAAAGTGACAACAGCTTATGTAAGCAGGCGTTCGGTGACAAGATGATGTAGTTCAGAAATGATAAGCATCAGTGCTCTCTGCTAGACTACATAGGCATTAAAGAAAGCCTCTCTCTTTAATCTCAAATATAGCATACATTTATTTTTCCCCACTGTAAAATATCCTCAAATCTTACGGGTTTTTATGGATCTTCTCAATTTAAAAAATAATAACAACAACTTACAACTTTAAAGTCATTATAGAAGCCGATTCCCTAGCTGCACTCATTGTTGAACGATAAGAGCATTCGCTCAAACAACAACCTGCAAATGTTTCCATTAATAATCTCGTCTCCTTTTCCCAGTCAGACAGGCTGCGCCCTTATTTCCTGACCCGGCTCATTCACATTGAGTTCTTATTAAATGGTTGTAAATAAAAGCATCACCCAAGGAAACATTGAAATATTTCTGCTCATTAAAACGGTTGAAGAGCTTTTTTAATGGCTGATTTGAGTAAGAGGTGGCTCAGGTGGCACAGGGGTCATCTCACTAATCACAAGTGCATGTGAAAGAGTCTTAGCTCCAAAAAAAGCAAACATCACCGACTGTGTGTATAGCTGTAAATAAATACAGGCCACTTACCATTTAATACACGAGACAGTGAGATAATCAAGTAATCCAAGGATGCACTAATTTAAAAAAAAAAAAAAAAAAAAAAAAATACTAGAACGGATCACAAACTGCGTCTAATGAATCTCATACTGC